AAAGAGTCATCTTCAGAGCTATCAGTTTTGTTGTTATCTGCTTTCTCGCCCACATTGTGAGTACTGTAGTGTGAACTCTGCTTTTTTTCTTTCTTTACATATGTCGATCCATACTTTTTCTGGTTCAGTTTAGTCTTGCTTCTACAAGCTCTAGCTATGTGTCCCACTTTACCACAACCATCACATTTTTCTTGTTTGTACTTACAGTCTGCTGCTGTGTGCTTGGTTTCTTTGCAACGATAACACTCTTTACTTTCTCCTTTAAAGGTACGACTCTCCTGTTGTCCTCTGGTGAGACTGAAACATTTTGCTGACGCCCCTGAGGTCTGCAGATCCTGTGCATTTTTATTTGCAGTCTCCATGGCTACTGCAATTGACAGAGCCTTGTCAAAAGTGAGATCTATTTCTGACAAGAGACATCTCTGAATTCGGTCATCCTTAATTCCGCAGACGATCCTATCTCTCAACATCTGTTGTAACGTGTTGCCATAGTTACAATCCTGCGCCAGGCGACGCAGCTCCGCTACATATTCCATGACGGTTTCATTCGGCTTGCGGGAGCGAGAGTCGAACTTATACCTTTGCACAATTTCACTGGGCTTCGAATCGAAGTGATCTTTCATCAGAAGCACCAGCTCTTGGAAGGTTTTGTCTTTGGGCTTGGCCAGGCTGAGAAGCTGTACGTCGCTGCTCCGATGACACTTATTAATATTGCTCTTTGTTTCTCTGCATCGTCGATCTCGTTAGCTGCGAAAAACTGATCGAGTATTTCCGCATACTCATCCCACGTCCGATTCTTTGGATCAAACTCTACTAGCGTGCCAATTGTAGCCATTTCCGCTTCGAGGTTACTGCCTTCTATTTCCAGCCGAAAACTTTTGCATTCTTTGAAAAGCTAGCCAAACCTGTAGCCACTCCATCACTTTTTTTCTTCTTCTCTTTTCTTTCAGTCCGGTTGCCCCAAACTCCTTCCCCCTAAACGTCCTCGTCGCCAAAAGGATGTTGCAAAACAAAAATAAAATAACTGAGCCTTACACCAGAGAATCGTTGCAACTTGTTTACTGAACCTTCTTTTCAGTACATGTACAGAACATCAGTGTCCATTTTACTGCGTCCCACAGGGCACTCTCTTCTTCCACTTTCTTACAACATAAATGTAACACAGAACCAATACTGCCTCTCCTGGCATTACCATTGTAACGACACACTCATTCTGTTTCTTTCAGATGAATAACAGGAACTTAGGATGCAGGACAGGAGCTTCCATGTAGTACTGAGGCAGGTTATTGGTCGGTAGTTGGAGGGGACCGGTCCCTTCTTGGGGTCCTTGGGGATCAGGACCGTCCGACCTTCGGTTAGCCATTCCGGGTGTCTCTCGCTAAATAGCAGCTGGTTCATTTGTGCTGCCAGACGCTCGTGGAGTGCAGTCAGCTTCTTCAGCCAGTAGGTGTGAACCATGTTGGGCCCAGGTGCTGTCCAACTCTTCATACTGGAGACCCTTTCTTGGATATCTGCCACTGTGATGGTTACTGG